CTGCAGTGAGCTTACAGTGGCTCCACCAGCTCAGTCCGCAGCCTCTGCAAGAGCCCCTGCACACAAATCGTTTTCAAAGTACTCCGATATCATCTGTTGGCAATCTGGACAAGGGACACATATCTAGCTGTGCTTTCCTTCTTCCATATTAAAAACCAGCCAGAATCACAAAACTACTTAAAACCTCTTAGTTGTTCTACAAATAATAAAGCTTTCTTCTGCAGGACAGCAAATGAACCACTCCAGGAGGATGGGGGCAGGAAAGGATCTTACCAGGCCAAAAGCTACACAAACTCACATGACATTGGGGCTTTAAAGAAGTTTTGTTCACTGCACAGCCTATATCCTGCAAAAGTTTCACCTCCCTTTTCCAACCTGTTCTTCCCGCTAGCCCTGCACCTGTAAAAACTTTAGGACACAAATACACCTGCTACTCATGCATTCTCCTACTACAAATCTAACGTTTTGATTCTTCACTATTTAAAGGATTCATCAAGCTGTACACATGAGTAAAAGATGTGTTTAATTTTTCATTTTTACACTTCTTTTTTTGTTTCGCAAGTTCTCCTTTACCCTTGTCTAATAACAACCTCATCACCATCAAGCATTAGCCACTTGATGACTTTTTTTCGTTTCCTGAACTTAGTCATACTACTTTTCTGAGCTTCCAAGCTATTCACTTTCTTTCTTTTGGATGAGCAATATTATCCCAGATCACTTACATTCATTTCCAAATTGTTCCACCCCTTTTGGGATCTTCCATACAATTGTGCTGATTTGTTTTTTAATTCTTAGCTTTTGCAATCCAGAACTGCAATTGCTAGCAATGAATGTGGCTGTAGCTATCAATGCATGCAAATAACAATGTTCTTTGCAGGGATCAAACAATTTTTTCCTTCCCAATCACATCAGGAAAAAGTATTCCATCTACTGAAGAAAAAAAGATACAGCTGAGAATATCAGCCTACTAACTTAAATGAAGCCAAACAGAGGTACAACTAGAAAGCTTCCTAATTCAAATTGTCTGATGATTAGACAAATTAAAGCTGTCACAATACACATATTAAAGAAGTCCTGAGTGTTTTGGAAACCATCCAATGGCATGGAAAACCGTAATGGGAAAACTGCAGAAAAGACAGAGATTATAGTGACCCCAAAAAACAAAGGCATGACCAACATCAGCAGTGAGAAGTGGGAAATCAAAGCTCTATCACTTATAATTCACACTCGTCTGAGTGCTTTGTGTTACAGAAACTTAGAAGTTGGAATTATCTCTAAACTACTATTGTAAATTCCTATGTCAGCTATAGATACAGGCACTGAAGTGAAAAAGGCAGTATTGATACTTTTTCAAAGCAGGAGTATTGTGTGATCTGCCAACAGACTTCTTGACACCTCTATCTAATAATCTATTCACAAGCAGCACTAAAATATTTTTAGGACTGAACTAACGATGTACAACATTCTGCAGTACTGCCTTCCACGAAGGACACTAATGTCCTTTAAGACAGACAGTAATCTAAATGACATATCACAAGATAAATGGACAATAATTGAGATAGGAGAAGAAAACATGCAGCTGTTTCTCATGCTCCACCTGGAAATATGACACAAGGACATAATATACAGCATACAAGAAAATTTAGCAACTTGCCACATGCCTAGGGAGGAAAACAAACCCAAGCATTAATTTCTTCCTACAGCAAAATCACATTTAGACCAGACTAAGGAAGACACAAGAAAGGCCCAATCCTGACTGGAGGGGATGGTGGGGGAAGAACTGGACACATGTTTCTTGTCAAAAGTTTTGGATAGTTTTTGTTTCAGTTTGTTTGGGTTTTGGCTTTTTTCCTAAAAGACAGACACATCTGGGCCATATTTCCTGGAAACCTCATGCTCAGTTCTCACCCCTGTTATTTGTTAGCTGCATGCACCTTCCAGTTCACACGTTGGAGCAGCAGCCATGCACAGAAACCAACTTCCCAACCTGCAGCCGGTTCCCACCATGCAGGCAGAATGGCCCAAGACCCTGATAACAGATATTAGGATTATCCAGCATATCTCAGTGAAGTTCCCTCTCAGCCTTGCAATTTCCTTGTAAAACTAGGTCACCACCAGATGTCCCCTTCAACTTTAAAAAATAAACAAACAAAAAACCCAACACAAAACCAAAAAGCAGCACTAACTTTCAACTTCTTTCCTTATTTCCTTGGTGGGAAACATGGAATATTCATTTGCTCACCTTCTCATTAATACTTAAACAAAATTTCATAGCTTTATCCTGTGAAAAGCAGTCTTGGGCAGAAGGAAATTGTTGTCTATGTATTGTTAAGAATCCAGTATTCTCCTTCTGTATACTTCATCCATTTAAAGACATTAATTAGGCTTATTACTGTTATTTTACTTACAAATACTCTCCAAATGCCAGTTAATACATTCATTCCCTATACCATATTATTCATCTTTAAAGAGCAATTGATCAATAATTTTAAAAGCCTGAAATGTAACAAGTACTCTTCAGAAGATGCAACTTCAATTTCTCTACGCAAATTATAGTTATTACTTATTGTTACATTTCACTTGTTTTATTAGGTAGTAACTCTGTACTGGCATTCACTACAAACCCCTTGTGGACAATTAACAAATTGGCAAATGAAAAATAAGATAAAATAGCCACTCTAAGGAAAGAATTTTTAAAACACTGTATGGTTTAGATTGCCAAAAACCCCTCAAAAAAAGAGATACTACCGCACTATCCAGTCCTGTGTTGAACCCTACTTTTCTAGCAATACATAGGAAAAGCTGAAAATTCAGAAAATCAACTTTCTAAAGAAATAGCTAGTGCATTTGCTCCTTGTTACAATACTTATCACCAAGATTTACTTCCATGATTCCATACGAGTATGATTTACTGCTGATTTTCTACTATAAAAACACAAAACATAATAATAAAAGAAAAAAATGCTTAATATCTAATGCATTTAAGAAATCAAATCTTTCTCAGTTACGCTTCTGGCTATGCTTATAGACTATACAACAAATTGCCTGAGGGTACAGAGGAAACAACTTCACTTACAGCAGCTTGCTGTTGTTTTAATTTGTCTCTGTATTCTTCCAGCTCTTGAAGACTAAGTACTGGAGGAAGCCTCTGCATGTAAACAACAAATTAAATTCAGTGAGAAATTAAAGGACATTAAACACACGTGAAGTATTAACTAACCAGTCAAACCCATTAAAGAAGCATTCTTACTGCTTCTGCAATCTAATTTGCAGAATTAATCAGTTATTTAAAATTATGGATATTGAAATAAATCAGTGTTAAAATACACAATATATTACCATAATCATGTCATATAATATCATTATTACCTCAAAGTCACCTTATTTTAAGCCATATATGTATATGCACAACCCCCCTAATCACTGAAATTATTGTATCTCAGTCATTTTGCTTAAAAAAAAAAAAAGCCAAAATATATTTTTTTTTTACCCCCCTCCAACTATTTTGGCTTTTTCATAATAATTTAAGTTATGAAGTACCTGTTAGCACAACTGATATTAATTCTACCACGGTAAAAAAAGAAACTCCATACCAACACTATATGCTAGAAGCTCCACAAAACCTCAAGATGAGGTGGGAGGGTACAGTTTTGCATTAATATAAGGTATAAGAAAAAAAAAGAAAAAATAGCCGATTGAAACAAGCATACCTTTGACCCTAATATTTTGTTATATTACTGTCTTTTCTTTTAAGAAGACAACTTACCTCTAACTCATACTTTACAATATCAAAGGAATCACTGGAAAAATAAACTTCTTCAATGCTGTTAATTATTTCTTGCTGAGCTTGAGGATCAGTTGGTTCTTCATATAGTTCTCTGAGATCCTCCTTCACAAAACAAAAAAAGGATTGCCATTATGTAATATCACATCATAACAAGAACAATGTTTTAGCAAAACTTTTTTTTTCAAAAGCCATTTACAATATTAGTACAAGAAGCAATGGCAAAAAAAACCAGAAAGATAAGTACGCTGTGACTTGTTCTTGCCATTACAAAGAGCAAGATAAATAAAACGTTTCAATGAACACAATTCAGATTTCAGTGTTACAGATCACTTAAACACTTCTTCATCAATACATTTATGGCACAAATGCATGTTGAGTCCACAGTCTTTTCCTCCTGAAATTCTCATCAAACTAAAAATAAATTGACAGGCTATTTCTCTAGAAGAAAAAAAAAAAAACCACAAAACCATAAAAAATAAAACCTGACTTTTTTGAACCAGAAGAACCATCTTCGTAAATATAAGGTAGACAGTATCACTACCAATGTATCTTTCTCTGCAATTCAGCCCTCGAATTCACTTTAATGACAGTCATGCCATTAAACACTTGAATTTTTTACAGACAAAACCAGAACAGATCTGCCTTGTTTGCACAAAATTGACAGATTTCAGATTTTTCTCCGACTATCAGGATGGTCTAAGCAGTGATGCGCTGTCAGCTTTCTGAAGGCTAACATTCAAGAGGTGAGCATCCCCTTCCTTGCTGTCATGATCTCCCCTGGAAGGTCTTCTCACCAACCCAGCTGCTTCCACTGGTTGCAACAAACCGAGGACTGAGCCTGTGCCTCCT